TGCAGTCCTCCTGTGTTGCACTTGCAATGTTCACACACTTTCCCACCTAAGTTGTAGATGATCAGAGGGCTGGAGCACCTCTCCTGTGATGAAAGGCTGCAAGAATTGGGCTTGTTCAGCCTGGAGAAGAGGAGGCTCCGAGGAGACCTCATTGCAGCTTTCCAGTATCTGAAGGGGCTACAAGGCTGCTGGGAGAGGACTTTTTACAAGGGCCTGTAGTGATAGGACAAGGGGTAACGGGTACAAATTGAAAGCAGGGAGGTTTAGATTAGATATCAGGAAGAAATTCTTCACAGAGAGGGTGGTGAGGCACTGGGACAGGTTGCCCAGAGATGTTGTGGATGCCCCAGCCCTGGATGTCTTCAAGGCCAGGCTGGATGTGGCTTGGAGCAACCTGGTCTAGTGGAAGGTGTCCCTGCCCATGGCAGGGGGGTTGGAACCAGATGATCTTTAAGGTCCTTTCCAACCCAAACCATTCTGTGATTCTATGATTCTATGATCCCTGCTCATCCATGCCGCCCTTCTGCCCCATGCGCTTGACTTCCAACACTTTGGAACTGCCTCTGTGTCCGTCAGAGATGGCTCTTACAGAGTGGCCAGCATTCAGGGACCCCAATGCCTTCACAAGCAGGTTCCCAGGGGACCTTACCAACCGGTCAGCGTATTGGGCCTTCTGTTCCGCTCAGAAAGGAGTCCCCTATGACAATAACCTGTCCTTTTTCCTTCATGGAAGTGGCTTTGATGTGGGTGCAGGCTGACTTGACCCTGCTGACAACTCCAACTTCCTCACTGTTTGGTTGCACCGGCAGAGCTTCATGCAAGGGCACCCGGGAAGGTGGGGTAGTGATGGAGGAGACATGCTGCTGCGTCAGGCAGGAACTTGTTGCCATTCCCCAATATCTCTTAAGTCACTGCATCCTGCCAGGAGGAGAGGACAGGGAATCCTCCCTGTCCTGTGTCCCATCTGCCTGACAGGCCTGTCCCAGGGAAGGTAGGGTGCAGTTCCCTCCTGGACTCCCTGATACTCCCCAACCTCATCACCTCCTCCCAGAGCTCTGCCACTGAGCTGAGGAGTACCTCTGCCAGGGCACAACACACATTATGCCACTCATTTCTGCTTCAGTTTTGAGCAGAGAGAGAAATGCATATGGGCAGCACAGGCCACTGATGCCAGCTGCTTCAAAGGAAAGGAACTGTCACAGTCATAAGTTACGTGGCAACAGCCTACAGGAAAAGTTCCCCCTATGCACCACTACACATTTGCAGTGATGTCCTGAAGCACAGGATAAAAATCTTGCACATACAGGTTCAAAATGGTCCAGAGGAGGCCACGGAGATGCTCCAAGAGCTGGAGCACCTCTGCTATGATGAAAGGTTGAGAGAGTTGGGCTTGTTCCGCCTGGAAAAGAGGAGGCTCTCGGGAGACCTTATTGCAGCCTTCCAGTACCTGAAGGGGGCTACAAGGAAGCTGTGGGGGACTTTTTACAAGGGCCTGTAGTGACAGGACAAGGGGGAATGGGTTTAAATTGAAAGTGGGGAGGTTTAGATTGGATATCAGGAAGAAATTCTTCACAGAGAGGGTGGGGAGGCACTGGAACAGGTTGCCCAGAGAAGCTGTGGATGCCCCATCCCTGGAAGTGTTCAAGGCCAGGCTGGATGAGGCTTTGAGCAACCTGGTCTAGTGGAAGGTGTCCCTGCCCATGGCAGGGGGGTTGGAACTAGATGGGCTTTAAGGTCCCTTCCAACCCAAGCCATTCTGTGATTCTATGAAAATGGAAATGTAACTATTAATTTCCTGCCAGCCACAAGTACTGCATGGGTGTTTTCACTGAACTGCCCAACACATTCTTAGGTTTCAATCCTCAGACGATACTGCTAACTTAGGAATTACCTGTACACCGAGGCCATCCTAAGAGCTCCTTCCTCAGTACCTTGCCTGCCTGCCCTCCCACCACCTTGCTGATTGTTCAGCTGAACCAGTCACTCTGAAGGTGCTCACGAATCTCACAGTCTGTTTGTCTGGTTTGACAAAGAACTGTCTCCCATCCATAATCTGTGCTGCTTCCTCTTCCAGATCACTGACTTTCAGTGTACGAAAAAGCTTTAAACGGAGGCAGTCCTGTATTAACTTCCTCCTCTGTTGCAAAGCAGCTTTATTATCTAGTTTCTCAGCTATAAAAACTTAATTCTCGGCCTCCAGAGCCAACTGATTTCCTTACTAGTTTATAATGAAGGTTATCTTATCTCTCCTTGTGGAACGCCAAACTTCAACAGATGACGACAGTTC